TGTTACTTTTATTTGTGACTAAGGAAGCATGATAGCTGAAAAAGCAAATATATATATCAAAAGGGCAAATTGTCATGAAATATGAGATGCAGTTTAAGACACCTAAATACAGATATGAATGCATGTGGTGTTTAAGCTTAGAAGACAATACAGGTACTATAGCTTAGGGAGAAATTCAGCCTGCTCTATACAGCTCACAGTTGCCCACCTGAATGTCCTCTCACTTCCTTTGGCATTAATGGCAACCAGACACCCAGCAAACATGAAGATGTCTATTTGTATCTTAATCTGAGGTTTAACCTTGCACAAAGACATAAAATCCAGTAACTTCCAAAGTTAAGATTCAAATGCAAATACTTGCTGTTAACTCCTTATGCCTATTAATTCACAGTAATTCTCCCATTTGTACACAACTTGATGCAGCCTTACAGAAAATGATGAAACTGTTTGAAAATAAATGTAATCATAGGAATTCAAGGAGCAATATGCACTATTTCTGTGAAACTGTATATCTGAATTTTGCTGCTGAACTTGCACGTGTAAACTAATTCTCTCTGGTTTAGGTCCTGTACCTATTGAAAGAGCTGCCCACTTGGCACTGAAAATACTTTGAAGCATTCAGGCTAGAACACCTAAAAGAAAGACTTATGTTTTATCAAGATTTTAATTTGAGATTGTAATCCAAAAAAAACCCCAATGATGTGGCAATTTTTCTTTGAAAAGGACTGTATTGCTTCTCCTGCCTCCCCAGGACTTTCCCCTAAAAATTCCAATGTATTCACTATGTACATACTTCCAAAAATTATAGGACTTTCTATCAGGGTGTATGCACAATGGGTGGCCATTTTATGTATGTGGCTCATGGAAAAAAATTTTTTTTCTAATGCAGGTGGTTTTGACTAACCAGCACTGGTTTCCCACTGCTGTTTTAATAGGAAAAATATCCCTTAGCTCAGGGAGTGGAACTTAAAAATGCAAGAATAGCATCAAGGAACATTACATTTTATTTTTATTGAAGACTGCATTCTCCTAACAGATGGAGAACTTGGGGTCAGAACTGAGTTCAAGCAGCCTCTAAACCTGGCCCAGACTTCTAAAATGATTTTAAACAAATAATTTAACACACTGGCACCTCATTTCTGCTGCTCTACAATGGAAATGATTTTTCCATGGATATTCTGAATTGTTTCCTTTGGCATGTAAGTATCTGAGATGAAAATTAATCTGAGTGCGCACATGTAGTAAATCAAGCATTAATGTTTATTAGAATTCAAAAAACTACTTGATAATAGTTACCATATACTTAGTTTGAGGAAAATACTACAGGGGAGGATATTTTCTAGTACAGTGATGAACTTACATTGGTGAGTGTGTTACTTCATTTTAAAGACATTCAGAAATGAGAAAAAAAAAAACATTAGTTGGGTGGTGACTCTAAGGAGTATAATGAATTATACTCCTTAATAGTTTCAGCCGAAGGCAGACCGCTGCCATTACTGATCCTGGGCCGCCACCTGGTGGCATTTGGGAAAAATAAACTCAAATTTCACTCGTCTATGGGGCCAAGGCTGCAGCACCGTCCTTCCCAGTGCTCCCGGAGGGCTGTAGGGTTGGATCCCTCCCTCTCACATCCCGACAGTCGGGCAGAAGGAGGGGCAGAGGTTATGGGATTTGTCCAAGCCTTGTAGGCTGACTCTGGGATGATGGACACACACTCAGTGTGTCTCTCCAAGGCAATACCTGTAAAGGCAAAGCCTTGCTGGGTCTCATTACTGGATTTGCAGTCTATTTTAGGTATTTTTGTAGGTACATTCCCAAAGGTGAGAATACACAGCTCTCAACCAGTCAACATCGCCATATTCACAGCACAGGCATGAATTTGGAGAGAGCCGGTGATCCTCACTGTCCAGCTGGGAGAATGAGGCTTAGGAAAATGAAGCACCCTGCCTAGGGTCACACAGGTCACACAGCTAATTTGATTAAATTGAATGAATTGAATCACAGAACCGTCTGGGTTGGAAATGGTCACCTTTAAAGGTCACCAAGCCCAACTCCCCTGCAATGGGCAGGGACAACAATGAAAGGAGTAGCATTCTGAAAGATAATAAATATTAGAGGGATTGCCCAAAAAGCAGGTCACACCACATTGTAAAGGTGGTAAAATATCACAATAGAAGAACTCTTGTGGCTTCACTGTAATTCTGCAATACCTACCTCATAAGAAATTAAATTCAGATCTCTAAATCACTTACTATGCTTCCTGTCTGTAAGAAATTTAACCAAGCTTCATCTGATTAGAAATAGCAGCTTTGAGGGGACTATTTGTTCTTCCTAATCAGATTTGTCATGTTTTGAGAAACAAATGGGAAAAGTATTTCTGTAGGGAAATAAGTGTTTCTGAGGGATGAGACAAGAAAGAACAAACATAGAGAAACAGATATTTTTTCTGGAGTCCTTATAAAACTAAGGTGTCTGGGACCCTTCACTAGAAAATGGTACAAGAATAATGAGCCCTGTGCATGAAACTGGTTTTTTTTCTGAATATGGCAAAATGGATCCATAATAGTTATTTGTGATTAAATAAATAACAAGGGCCTGACTGGGAGATTGCCTGGGGATATGCATGCAGTCTAATTTAGTAATAATTTCCATCCCTCTCTGCTCAATGAACAAATAAACAACTCTTGCATGACAAGTAAATGCTGATGCAACAATGGTAACATTAATTAGAACCTTATGGAAAATGCCACTACAAAACAGAAAAAATAGATTTAAAAATTTTACTGTGGCTGTAACATACAGTTGTAAATATATCCTGCTTAAAAGTAAAAGAAAACGGACTTTTAAATTTGTATTTGAACTTCTGGATTTTTGAATACAATGTACTGTGAAAGGCTTTGATCTCATTAGTCTCTGTTAGTCAGCCCTATTTTGCTGCATCTAATGAAAGAAAAATAAATTGCATAATTGTCCTGAAGAAACTTCTGTTTCTATTCTTTGGGTTTCTTGTCTGTGCTCTTCCTGACACAGGCCTTTTACTTCCTTATCTCTTCATAAGGATAACTTTATAAGACTCTACTTGGATTTTCTTGCAATTCCCTAGAAACTTTCTACTTGGACAGCTCTTTAAGGCACTGTTGGGAGGAAAGGGTTAAAAGCAGTGCAAAGGAGGATGTGAGATTCCAAGAGACCTTGCAGGTGGGAATGCTGAGGCCTGGAGAATATCAGTGTGGGAATATACCCCTTAGATTATGCTCACTGCTGTCTGTCCTCTGTCTGTTTTGAGAAACTGAATTTCTGTTTAGAGATAACGCAGGTGTCTGAGGGACTTGGAGGCACTCTCAGGGACCTGCCTGAGCTCCCTGCTTTGGGAGAGGGAAGGTCAGAGCTCAGAGATCATAAAAAGCACATGGTGGAACAGCACAGGGCTGTTCTTTGCACCTTCAATAAATAGGTGCAAAGAACAGCCCTGCCACCCCTGAGGGCGGGCTGAGCCTGACGGTTCCTGCCTTCCCACTCCTGTGTCTGCCCAGGGGTTGCTTTGGGATCCTCTGGTTAGTGAGGTAATGAAATAAATTTATTCTTTGCATTTCAGATGTAGTCTTGTGGTGTTCTACCTGCCTGCCTGTGTGGGCTCCCAAACACCCTTTACTTGCTCTTGCTCATTTTTTCTTGCAGCACTCTTAAGGAACAGGTCTAGATAAAATACACTGTTGTGATCCTCACGATGTCAGGTTACTGCCTCCCTTTGGTGATAACTTAACCAGATTTTCTATATATAGCAAAACACCTCCAGCCACCTCTTTACAACTTTTTACAAAACTTTGACAGGTGTAAGGCAAATTCATAGAATTTATTATTCATAAAATTTACTTTTCATAGAATAGGCCAAAACAATCCTTAGCAATGTAGGAAAACCATATCCAGCTTTCTTATGAATTTAAACATTGACCCGGAAAGTGTTGCATGACTGCATTACAAACCATCCAGGCTGAAGCCATCTTCCATCCTCAATTCCTGAATTACAACCAGGGATGCAGGATTCACAGGGAAAGAAGGCACAACAGTGGGAAGCAGTGTGATACTGCAGCCTAGTGCATCCACCATTTATCTGGGATAAATAATTCCTGTATTTCAGCTCTTTGCCTTAAGGCTATTGTTGTGCTTCACACGAAACAGTCACATCTGCATCAATTTGGGATAGTTTCTTTTTTTTTTTTTTTTCTCCTGTAAGGAATGTGAATAATGTCAATGGATATTTAACTACATTTTCAAGGCTTTCATTATTATTCAAATTTCTTTATATTCAGATTATTTCAGTTCAATTACTTGACAGAGCCTAAAACACAAATGTTCTGGTTTTAAAATGTGTGATATCAATATATTCATGAATGAAAAATTAAAAATATGTTTTTGAGTCTAAGTATGCAAAATATAACCTCAGGCTAAAAAGCATTTAATCCAATAAAACTTGAAAAGAATTTCAGAGGGATCATCAAATTCATCAGAGGCAGAGAGATAATGTACATAACCTAATTCATCTCCTTGTAGAAGTGAGCTATTTGCTAAGCACTTGAGTGCACACCAGATGGCAGCCTGAGCATAGATGATTTCATCCTACTGCTTGTTCTCCTCCAAGAAAAGGTGAAATTGAGAAATATCCTTCGACTCAGGTGTGTGTTTTGGGAAAAATGGAACTGGATGATGGGCCAAAATATGGGATGCTTAGGTCTGCAACGTTCTTAGGTCCTTCCTGAGGTGTCACTGTAGTGTAGGTAGCATTAAGTAGAGAAAAGTCTCATTCCCAGCTAAATGCAAGCAACAGCAGTAACAAATGCTCTAAAACTCAAAGGCAAAATAACCAAAATATTCAGGAATAAGCTCTTTGCAGCTCAGATTTCCCAACATGGAAAGGAGAAAAATGTCTTTGTGTGCCCCTTGCGGTATGGCCAAAGAACAAGATGAAGAAGCTGGTGAGGAGAGCCCAAGAGAGCACTTACAGACAAGATTTGATCTCCTCGCTGCAGCTCTCCGCTGAGATCCGCTGGCCCACCTGCGAGGATGAAAGACACGAAAATGCCTTCCCCGTCTTCACCTCCCACAATGTTGAAACCAAGTCCTGTGGAGCCCTTGTGCAGGATGATTTTGCGAGGCTCTCTGTACAGAAACAAAATCATAATGTTTAGGCACTCTTACTGCATGTGCATTTTTCGTAGCATCTTAAGCATACTACATTTTTCCTAAGACACAATGGCCTGCTATTGTCTAATAACAGATGTAACAGATGACAAAGCTGTTAACTGGTGAACAGATAAGGTAGGAATCAACCAGCATTAATTTTTTTCCCTCATGGTTGAATTGAAACATCCCTATTAATTTCACCCCATTGGAGTCATCTTCACTATGTTAAGTGACAAATTTATTAAAAGGAAAAAGCACTGAATGTATGTAATAATCTAATTTATAGCAATGATATATATCCAGATATTCAATCTGTATATATTACCTTTTTATTTTAAATTCTAGTCTTGCTTTTGCAACAAATGAACAAAGAAAAAACTTACAACTCCAAGAAAAACAATGGCAGTTGTGATCCTGACAGATTTGGAGCAAATAACATTTACATGATCAAGCTAATTCAGCTTCAGAATCTCATTACAAACTTTGGTTTGACACTATCAGGATCTTGCAATTTTAAGTCACGTTGCAGCTTTATCACTGAACCAGCCCAAGGGGTACCTGCTTTTGCCATGCTCTTTAAAAACTATTAATTGTGATAGAAATCAATAAATAATAACAGGTATATCTCACACAGCTCTTTTCATCTGTAAATTGAAAATATGACCCAGAGGATGTGAACATAACATGCAATTTACTGATGGGAATACTTATTTCCACAAATAGATAACTTTCCTGAGCAATCAAGGTAGCATCTTTGAGAGAGGGTCCCAAATATTTTTGTTCCCAGTCTCTATGTACGAGGCCTCAGAGCTGGCTCTCCCTTGGATACACAAGCACACACAACCACATATACATACACACACTCCATGTTTATTGGTACTTACCCCATTTCAAATCCCACTAAAATTTAATTTTCAGAAAAAGTGTAAATGCTGTTCAATTATGATGTATAAATTTTAAGCCCAGCCCTGCAAGTCTCCCAAACATTCATATAGGTATCTGTGACTCCTCCCAGAGAAATAAGATGCTCTACTCATTCTTTAAGTTTACAAAAAAAAGCTGCCAGCAATAAAATCACACATTCTACAGAATGCTTCTTGTATAAAAGATTCAATATTTCCTCCATATTATAGCACAGTTCTGCATCACACAAATGGATCTTTCATTTCCATTATGTTTTTAAAGAACAGAGAAAAAAGGAAGAGAAGTGATTAAATTGAGTAATGCCTTATTTGATACAAGTTTAATCTTATGGACACATGGAGACTTTATCTTGACATGATACTTCTGAAATCACAGGCAGTTGTTAATCTTTACCCAGTGCTAAAATTCAAGTGGTATCCCCAGCTTGATTATGATGTTAAAGTAACATCTCAGCTTTCTGAAACAGAAGTTTCATATATTTGAAAGAGAAGACTAAAGCAACGTATTAGTCCTACTCCATATGGTCCTTCATCGCTTGACATTCATAATGTTGTAAAGTCAGAAAACAGTTAAAAATACAGCTGTGAGAAAAAGATATATTGTATTGAATTTGTGAATTTTTGAAGTATTTTTAAGAATCAGAAAATAAAGGTAGAGGTTTTTTGTTTTTTTTTTTTTTTTTTGCATCACTGCTGTTGATTTTCCTTGTAGCAACTCCTTTAACACCTTGCTAAATATGTGCAGAGTAGACATAATGCAATCCAGAATCTAAGAAGTCTAAACAGGTTTTTAATTAGAAGTGTGGCCTGGGGGTTGGAGCAGAACTGGGACAGAGAGCTGAAAGCATGATTTCTCTTCTCTGCTTAGCCCATGCACTGCTGAGTGTTCTTGGCAACTCATTTGTTCTCCCAGCTTCGGTTTCCTCATCCACAAAATGATACAGTGACACTTGTCATCTTCAAGCCCTACTCATCAGAAATACTTTGCAAGAGTTGAGCAGCTGCCATTTATTATTTACCAGAATATTAAGGAAAAAGAGGCAGCAAAGTCAAACCAGTATCTTTGCATGCTCTGCTGGTGAGAAATCAGAAGAGATCTTGTTCAAAACAAAAATGAGTATTTTCACAAATGACAGGCAGCTTGGATCAAATTAGTTGAAAGCCAGGGCCATGGACAAAACTAGGTCAATACAACTGGGTATCTAATGAATAGTAAGCTGTACAGCTCAACAAAATGTTGGCCCAGTTATTAATCCCTGTCTCTGATCAAGTCAGCAGATTTATGCCTAAAGTGCTGTCAGTGCTGTTTTATAATTTTGGCCTTTTGACAGCAAAATTCACATTCTGCTCTTGGATGATTATGTTCAGAGGAAGTTCAGACAATAAGGGGAAAATGTCAGAAGCTGTGATTAGAATGCAATGGGTTTCTGCCCCTGCTCTTTTACCTAATCAGATCATTTTGATCATGACTCAGATTTGGCTGAATAGAGGCTGACCATCCTTAGCATGTCTTTGTATTTCTTTCATATCTGAGTACCCTGCAGAATCTGAAATGTGGACTCAAGAACACCTAAGTGCTGTTGTCATTATAAAAATAACCTTTAGCCCCTACTGTACTACAAAAGCTATAGGAAGTAGAATGTACATGCCAATTCACCTTAATATAATAAATATGTTTTAAAAATATGCATTTGCATGCTGTACTTAGAATGACAATGAAGAAAAGGGCTAATGATGGTAAAAAAGTTGATATAAAATTTATGAAGTAGGACAAATATTTATTAAGGAAACCAACTAAAATACCAGCCACTGCCCAAGTGATCTTTTAAAAGTGATGCAGCAGTTAGTTACCTGCCAATGCTTTATCAACACTCACTGAAATGTCTAAGCTGAAGATGAGGGTGTTACATATTTTATCACCTGGTATAAAAGTTACAGTCAACCCTTAATGATATTTAAGGAAGTCTTAGAACAGCTGTTCCAATTTTTCTTGAATGTGGGCAATAACAATAGGAAAAATTTCTTTGCCTCTGTGAAAAATTGTTATTAATGTAGTTCCAGTACATATGAGAGAACTCAAGACAAAAATGCAGATAAATGCTGTAAAGGAGGTGATGGAATCAAACACTTAAAGATGACATGATGATGGGAGAGTTGAGAACTGGAAGAAAAGTAACTCAAATGTGAATGATGCTTGCTTGTAGTTAAAGCACTCAGAATGTCTAGCTGCCTGCAGAAAACAGCAACTAAGGCAGAACTCATTTTAAGATGGGGTGGTTGGGCACTGAACAGGCTCCCCAAGGCAGTGGTCACAGCCCCAAGCCTGACAGAGTTCAGTAAGCATTTGGACAATGATCTCAGGCACATGGTGTGACTCTTGGGGATGCCCTCTGCAGGGCCAGGAGCTGGACTCAGTGATTCTTGCGGGTCCCTTCCCACTCAGCTTGTTCTGTGAAGATGTTTGATTTGGATACAATAGATGGCACTCTAGAGCTACCCTGGAAAAGGGAGCAGTCTGACATCCAATGTTTGTGAAATTCATGTTTCAGCCTCCAGCTTTAACTATTTATCCCATTTACAATTTCTTCTGTGATAAATACAGCTGAAGGTAACTTTGTAGGTGCTAACAAAGCATACTAGCACGTTAATTTGGTGTGTGCATGTTTTATACCCTCCTGCAGCTCTGTACCACATACAAACAGAGCAGAACAGCAGGGGAAATCAAGCAGAAATTACAAAGGAGTGTGAGATGAAAACATTCCTGGACTGACAGAAGGCAGCAGAAGGGAGGGAAAAAAAAGAGAAGGGAAAAAAGGAAAGAAAAGAGGAAAGAAGAGAGAAATCAGAATAAAGGGAAGCAGTGCCTCTGTAAAGGACATCGGGAAAGGAAATAAAAAGGTAGGGAAAGAAGAAAGGAAGATTTACATTAATAGATCCAGGAGTAAAGAGCAAATAAAATGCTGCAATCCACACAAATTTACAGGCTGAGAAATCAATGGCACAATCAATTTGGATGGACTTGGTTACTTGCTTTGGGGAATGCATCAGATCAGATTCTGTAAATCACATTATAAACTGCATATGCCTGATGTAACAGCAAAGATTACTAAATTAATATTTGAAAACAATAAGTAGGAACAAAATGTCAACACTTAAGAAAATGTCTTCTGTCATAAAAATGCAGTGACCAAAAATAAATCATAGTGCAGCATTTCTCTCCTTAGCAGGTTTGTTTGGTTTATGCATGTTTAAATTGATCACTATCTTAAAAACAGCAAGTGCTTTTTATTTACTACATTTGTACTGAATATTTGGTTTGATCAGTTTATCAGTTTACTTTTAACAAACAGAAAATGACAAGAGAAAAAAATGTGACTGTTACTATCATTCTTCTACAGACTGGAATCCATAGTAATTATAGATCTAATTTAAGAGATTAAAACTGGACTGATAAATGATGGGGTAGTGCTTTCTAAAAACAAGTAATTCTTATAATAATTAACTGAAAGAAAATCCATTATTAAATTGATTTTTTTTTGCTGCTGGCAACATTAAAGAAAAGAGTCAGTTTTAGTATTCATCTCAATTGACACAGCTCTGTCTTTCTGTTTCTTTTGTACCATCCATAAAATTGGAGAGCTGACATGTTTTGTGGTTTTTGAAATACCTACAGAAATTTTAAGCAACACTGGGTGCTTTCAAACATCAGACCCTAGGGATTTCTTCGGTTTTATAGAATCGATGAGGTGTCTCAAATCTGCAGAGGCTTAGAAATATGGCTTTGATCTTGATTTGGCTGCAGTTTTTTTGTTGTGATGGCTTTTTAATTTTTTTTTCTTTTTGTTGTTATTGTTGGTTTTTTGCCTTTCCTCCTTCCCCCAAACTGCCATTTTCTTCACAAAGAATGTTGAAAGCATGCATAAAGTCTTTGTTGCTTTGGTGTTATAGTAATACGGATCACAGAAAGCTCAGAAGAATATTTCTCTTACTGTTTGCATTAGGGTAGCATCAATATACAAGTCAGGGCCCACAACCTTTATATTCTTATATAGT